CTCATTCAAGACCTTTCAATTTGAGTACCCACATCAATTTTTTTATATATTTTGTATATTTATATATATTATATAGTATATATGAAAATATATAAAAATGCATGTGGGTACTCAAATAAAAGCTCTTGATGAGTGTAACATCGGGATGAGCTTATATCTTTAAAAATGTCAATAATTAAGAAAGTACAGTGCAATTTAACAAAATTCATTATTTAATAAATAAGAATTTTATTAATTTATAGTTCATAAGTCCTGGCAGTCACGTAGTGACTGCAAGGTTGCTAGTTTTTTTTTATAACATAAAATTTTGAAAAACTTTTTTTATAAAACTAAAATTTTGGGCAAAAATCTTCGAAATATAAATATGATAAATAAAAAAAAAATCTACATACATGCTGACAAGTTGAGTATTAGGAACGAGTCGTTCCAGTCGATTAGTATTTCTCATTCTAAAAGTCAGTTTAGCTGGACTTGGATTATTAGCAAGTACAGCAACAATACCAGCAGGAAATGAGAGCATCATATCTCCGCTGAGCTTGACCTGACAGCGAGTCTCATCAGTACCGCGGAAGTACGAATGAACGATCTCGTGAAAAGCAACAGCCAGTGGAATAGTATCAGCAAGCCCGATGGTAAGTGGCGAAGGGCCACGGGATGATCCAACTCCAACTCCAGCAGTGCGAAATTCAAGACTCGCAACACTATCAGCTCTCGATATCGTTGCCGGGGACATCCTCCCACGTGGACCCCCTTCGCTGCGACGTGATGGAGGTCGCGGGATTATTATTGAGCCTGTTGGTGTTGATGACGCCGATTGCTTGGGTGGCAAGGCTGGCGTGATGTCACCTACTTCGGAGAACAAATCTCCTTCTGTGGAAGGAATAAACTATTATTAGCAGAGATTATTTATTAATAATATCTTTCTCCTTATCTCTTATCGGAGGATCAATCACCTGGAAAACGTGTGTGAGATTGAATGGGAGGCGCTGACTGTGGAGGCGCAGGTTGCGGAACCGGTGAAGTAGAAAGCGGAGGTGGACTCTGCAACGGTGCGTAAGGATGACTTGCCGTGGGCGTTGATGCACTGGACGGCGTACTGCTTGGATTAAAAAGATTAAGACCAAGTAAATCGGAGCTAGGTTTTCCACCTAGCTGTTGTGATACTGACTGAGAACGTTTCATATGGTGATCTGAGTCATTGTTTGATCCTCTTCGACCCTGCAATTTATTTAATCATTTTTTAAAATATTTACTTCTGTACAATTAAAAATTTTTATAAAGATTAAAATTATCTATATTATTGAGTGAAAATGCTCTATCTCTAGATACATAATTAAGGAATGACTTTGTATCTTGTGAATTATTGACTTTGTTAAAGATATAAGCTCGTCCTGATGTTACACTCATCGAGACCTTTCATTTGAGTACCCACATCAATTTTTCATATATTTATATATTTTATATATATTATATATCTGTATGTATGAAAAATATATCAAAAATGCATGTGGGTACTCAAATGAAAGCTCTTAATGAGTGTAACATCGAGATGAGCTTATATCTTTAAAAATGTTAATAATTAAGAAATGACCTTGTATCTTGTGAACTATTGACATTTTTGAGGATATAAGCTCATCTTGACATTACACTCATCAATACCTTTCATTTGAGTACCCACATCAGTTTTTCATATATTTATATATATTATATATGAAAAATATATGAAAATGCATGTGGGTATTCAAATGAAAGCTCTTGATGAGTGTAACATCGTAATGAGCTTATATCTTTAAAAATGTCAATAATTAAGAAATGACCTTGTATCTTGTGAAATATTGACATTTTTAAAGATATAAGCTCACTCTGACATTACACTCATTGAGACCTTTCATTTGAGTACCCACATCAATTTTTCATATATTTATATATATTATATATATATGTATATATGAAAAATATATGAAAATGCATGTGGGTATTCAAATGAAAGCTCTTGATGAGAATAACATCGGGATGAGCTTATATCTTTAAAAACGTCAATGTTTTAGAAAGTAACAGTGCAATTCAACAAAAGTCACGGCAGTCACATAGTGACTGCAAGGTTGTCAGTAAATAATTAACTTTACCGTTGGAGCTGGTGACAATGAAAGATTTTCCACAGTAGCACGTAACTCATCGACACTGGCGCTCATCGGTGCCCCGCCATTACTCAAAGGTTTTATTTCCACCCTAATTTTTCGTTCCCTCTCATCATCAGACTCAGTATCTGAACTCGAGTAAAATCCTTTTTCATTCTCCCAAGGATCTGGCTTCGGACGAATGCAGTATCCATCTTCATCTACCTCTGGCGTTGGAGTTTCTGATTTTCTGCTCTCATCTTTTTCTTCTCTGTTAAAAACAAAAGCAAAATAAAAAAAATTAATAAATTTATTAACAAGTTCAATAGCACGCCCAGTGCACTATTAAATAAATAAATAAAAAATCTCTTCACTTATTTATTTATATTATTTTAATACTCATAAATAGTTATTAGATTATGTGTAACTCTTTAATTTGTTGCACTGGGACTGCTGATAATTTAGATACTGACAGGTCTGACTTTTCTTCCTTGTTACTGTTAGTATCCACCGAGTCCTTTTTCTTCTTAGCTTTCTTTTCTTTTCGCTTTTCACGTCTGCTTCGTAGAAACCCTGTCAATTTATTTACAATAAAAAAAATTAATATTGCTTATATTATATAATTAATTATCAAACATAGTAATAGTTATAGTAATAGTAAATTTATAATTAATGATTACAGAAAAGAAAATAATAAAATATTATTACTAAATCATTAATTATTGCAATCAGTTGAAACCATAATAGAAACCAACCGCGTCAGTTAGAATTGAATACGTACGACTGTTTTTAAAAAAAAAAAATTTTTTTTTTCAATCAATCGATTCCCAATTCATTCAAAGTCCCTCGCAAACTTTTACTAGCTCAGGATTTTTTTTTTTACTTATTTTTTTTAGATTCCAGATAAGTGCAATGATATCTATGAAAAAAAGTAAATTAGGCTTTCTACACGCACTACAATTTTCTAAAATACTAAATTTTATTAATTAAAAAAAAAAACTACTGTTTACAATAAAATTAGCAATAATTATAGTAATAATAATAATAATATTAATAAACAAATAAGTGCTCAGGCGTCTATAAATAATTTATTATTTATTTATTATAAATCAATTTTTATAGAATTTATTTATTTAATTTTTTTATAGAAATTTTATTTATTTATTATAAATTAATTTTTATGGAATTTAATCTTTATAAATAAAAATAATTGTGATGTATTGAAAAATTTGGATATTCTGAGCTTGTAAAAAATTTCAAGATCTAGAAAAAATTTTTTGTATTTATAATTGTTTACATCAATTTAGACATCAAATAACCTGAGCACTTATTTGTTTATTTATTGGGTGAGATCTGAACATTACCTTAATAATAATAATACTTATAATAAAAAAAATTTAACCATCACCATTTTTAAGTCAGACGTGAAAAGATTGTGATAAATTGTTTTTCTAACATATAATTTTTTTTTTCTATAAAAAAAAATCATGCTAAATTTTTTAAATTAAAATATTTAAAAAAATTAAATTTTTTTTTTTTTTAATATAAATAATAAAATAATTTATAAACCATGCACTATAATTGAAGTTGTTGGAGTAATTTGTAATTAGACGGCTCACCTGAGGCATCCCCGTCAGTAGCCGCCTGTTCTCAACTTAAACGTCCATCTCCCTTTAACTTATCTTACATTTTTTTATTTAAAGTAAAAAATATTAACAATTAATCATAATTAACGTAAAACATGTGCTCAGTGATAGACGAACTTAATGGGTATTTTTGAAGAGGTAAGACATAAATGATGAATGAAATTTAATGGTACTGAAAATAGCAAATTTAATTTTTTTAAGCAAATAAATTTTAATAAAAAAAAAAATATTTTAATTTACTTAAAAAAAAAAATTTTAATTGATCAGACATTTCCTAATTTCAGTACGGCATTAAAAATATTATCTAATTAAATTCAAGTCTTACATCTTCTCTCAGACGGAACTAGATTATATGCTTGTAAGTGCACACACCGATGATTAGCATGTAAACCTCATTTATTTTTAAACATATTTATGTATAGTGGTTTTTAAATCTAACGTCCAGACATTAATAACGTGAGTTATTTTAAATAATAAATTTATGAGTAATTGACAAACAAAAACCAAATTATAAAACTTTTTTTTTTACGGTGAATACGATTATGAAGTTTTAATTATTCAATGACTATAGAATATTTATTTGTTTGTAGTTAAATAATTTGACCCTTCAATAATAGCCGTAATGATTGTTAGAAAAACAATTTAAGAAAAATGTTAATTTAAATATTAAAAATAATTTTGAATAATTTATTATTTGTTAGTATTTTTAGTCTACAAGCATTTGTTAGTAATGACTGTTAGTAATAGTAATATAAATATAATAAAAGCATTAGTTAGTTCCTAAGGCATTATGATAGTGCTCTGGTGGTTTATATTTTGTGTAGAATCCGGAATCAAAAGTCTGTGACAAAGCTTTTCAACAAAGACAGACAGGCAGACAGAGAGGCAGATCACCTTTGATAGATTATATCATCGACTATTTTGTAGTAAGCAACGGATGATAGTCAATAATCAATAATTAACTATTATTACTAGCAGAAATAAGCCGAAAAAATATATAGTAAATTTAACTGTATATATTTGGTCAGAATTTTAGAAAAATTAAAATTCTGAAGTCTCATATAAGTATACACAGATCACACGAAAAGAACAAGACACTGGATATCATCCCAGATTATACTCAGTGATATCTGTGGTGAAAAGAAATTTCACATAGTAGCTAGTATAATCTATATTACATTCCGAGATACAGATCATACAGGTTATAAGAAATGACCTTGTGTCTTGTGAACTATTGACATTTTTAAAGATATAAGCTTGTCCTGATGCTACTCTCATCGAGACCTTTCATTTGAGTACCCACATCAATTTTTCATATATTTATATATTTTATATATATGTATATATGAAAAATATATCAGAAATGCATATGGGTACTCAAATGAAAACTCTTGATGAGTGTAACATCGGGATGAGCTTATATCTTTAAAAATGTCAATAATTAAGAAATGACCTTGTATCTTGTGAAATATTGACATTTTTAAAGATATATGCTCATCCCGATGTTACACTCATCAAGACCTTTCATTTAAGTACCCACATCAATTTTTGATATATTTATATATTTCATATATATTATATATATGTATATATGAAAAATATATCAGAAATGCAAGTGGGTACTCAAATGAAAACTCTTCATGAGTGTAACATCGGGATGAGCTTATATCTTTAAAAACGTCAATATTTAAGTATAATCTGGGATGATATCTAGTGTCATCTTGTTCTTTCCGTGCAAATAAATAAAAAATGTTAACATTAAATAAATAGCGATAGATTACAAATTAATAGACGTTTGAGTAAATATTAAATTATCGCAACCGTAGAATTACGTAATTTAATATCCGTGAGAGTAAATTTTATAAAAGCTTTAGCATTAATAGAACAGCTACATCTGCATCTAATTTTGTTGATCAATAGATCCTGTATGCGTTTATAAATAGTTGATGGTTAATAGTCAATAGTCGATAGTTGGTAGCTTTGTTTAGACAAACTAATAGCAAATAAGCTTTTCAAAACATTTTCTAGTAGCAGTTGTAGCTGTTTTACGAAATAAAATGGTCTGAACAAAGTCAAAGTGTTGGTAAATGATAAAGCAGTTACATTTAGATCCTCTGAGAGGGTTCCTGGAGATGCTGGAAGGTGGATTGTCACCTTGAGGAGTGACAGGTGCCGAACCGGAACCTGCTTGCCTCTGCCTCTCTGAAACAATCACTCATCGCTCATATTTTTCAGCCGCGTCCCGGACTAACTTATTTATCGTTAGCTTTTATATATTCTACCATAATTATTTTACCAGTAATAATCGTCCATTGATCTGTTTAAATTTCTATGTATCTCTTTGATTAATTATACATTTAATTTATTCACTGGCAATTGAATTTTGTTTTGCGGTTAAAACAATTGTGTCGTACACGTACAAATGACACGCCTGAATTCCTATTTAAATTCCAGGTATTTGATTAATTCGATCGTGCCGGACTAGCTATAAGCCATTCAAAGTGCCTTCGGCATTCACCCGCACCTTTATTAAAAATACACACACACGTCAACACATATATACACATGTCATACATATACATACACATGTTATGTAATATATTGATGAATATAAAACTATTGATAGTTTTAAACTTTCATATAAATTCGTTTTTCAAACATCTAAAGTTTTATATTGAATTCATTTTTAATTAAAAACCGCATACTCATTCTCTTCTTTTTACTACTACTATACAAATATATATTATATGGAAATTGTTAAAGCAAAACAATATGTTTGTACATCAGCCATCCTCAGCTGCAAATGACGCACAAAGTAGAATGACTAGACCACAAAAGCATGATGATTGTTGAATAATAAATAAAAATCTATATTATTAAGAGGATAAAAAAATTTTGTATCCAGGATAGTCATATGATAAAATCGGTTTTTTTTAGTGAAATTTACTGTCATTGCAAAGATCTTGAATTTGTGCCTTTTCGAGATTTCATATAATTCTCACCGATAATCAATTTATTATGATAAGTATTTAGGCTACATTCGAAAATGCTCTATCTCTAGATACATAATTAAGAAATGACCTTGTATCTTGTGAACTATTGACATTTTTAAAGATATAAGCTCATCTTGATGTTCCATTCATCGAGACCTTTCATTTGAGTACCCACATCAATTTTTCATATATTTATATATATTATATATTATTATATACATGTATATATGAAAAATATATCAAAAATGCAAGTGGGTACTCAAATGAAAGCTCTTGATGAGTGTAACACCGGGATGA